AAAACACCCTTCTCAGGTGCCCTAATATTAATAGAACTAAAATTAGCGATACATTATGCTCCATACACAAACACAATTGGAATGAACAAACTAAGACCTCAGTTGTTCACATGTTGACACAATTAATTTAATTATACAATCAAGCAAAACCTTATGTACAGACAGTACGAATAACATCTAAACCCATGTTTAAAAGGTAAAGGTTGCTTTATGCACACATTCAAAACCGGTGCTAAGACGACACATCACTCAGGCTCACGCTCCGTACACTTAAACGCTGAGCAATTTGAGATAAGGACTTTGTAAAAGGGCAATCGAAACCGAAACCGATTCCGTTCAATGCAACAAAGACTGAGGTACAATTTAATTAGCCTGCACAAACAGTCTCCCCTGTGTTATTAATGGGAAGAGATACAGGGAGAAGAGAAAAGGTGTGTGGGATAAAGAGATGCAGCTCCAACATGTGTTGAGGTAAAAAAAGGAGGAGTAAAGAAAGAAAAAGCGACAAACTGAAAGAGAGAGAGGGAGACAACGGAGTGCATCCAGTGTGTAACAGCTGCAGTCAGAGGTCATGAATAATTCATGGCTGTCCTCAGTAAAGTGGAACAATCAGTCTTTACTGTCACAAAACACTGGGCTTGCACTAATACTGACTTTTACGCGCACACACACACACACAAGCACACACAACTGAACTCGAAATTTTGGGGGTAAATAAGCTAGACCTAATTCATTTGATGTTGCCCAAATGAGAGGAACATATCTGTTGTTTAAGACAAAGTTTGCTGTTAGTTGCTAAAAAAAAATCACACGTATTTATCACAGAATCCTGTCATTAGTCTAAACTGACAAGAGAAGTGGAAAATATAGTAATAACAAGAATGCTATCCTATGGAACTATAATGTAAAATCAGGCAGTACTTGAGGTTGCTTAAAAACAACATCATAAAGGCATCAATAAAGGACAGGACTTCTGTCGGTGGAGGCCTCAGGGAGGTCGGACACTCGGTCAGCTCGTGTAGCTTTGATTGTGGAGCCTCTTTTTAGCCGTCCAGCAAAAAAACATGCAGTTGTTCACCCCAAAGTGCCTCTCACTGATGCTGTTAGCTTGATCTTTTGCTCACGATGTTTATCTGTGCAACAGCTGCAGGCCTCAGCGAGCACCATCACTGGCACAATAACTTACTAAGTGAAGCATAAATGTGTAGGGTGTTTAACCCACACGGGAAATGTACCAAAGGGCAAAAAAGTCAACTAAAGGTTTTAAAACTGACTGAAGTTGAGGTTATGTTTACTGCAGAAGGTCCTTCTACAGCGAGGTGGTGGAGGATAGAAATAACTGGAAAAGCAGGGTGTTATTTGGTTAATAGGGCAGCGCAATCGTGTGTTAAATATTACAAAAAAACAAAACCTTGAATGTATCACTAAACATTAAACCTACGTGCTGCTGCATTCTTCCAAAAAAGTTTTGCCCAAATATTTGGTATGCAAATTTATGCTGCAATGTGCAGAACAATACAATAATTATCCACCTGCAAATCAAGCAAGAAAGTGCACAGCCGAAAAACCCAGATAGGCCAATTTGTGCATCAATTTCATGATTGTAATTTTAACAATCCAAACAGTGACGTGTGAGAATGTGCTCACCCTAGAGTGTTGCTGGTGTCCCCATTCCTCAGGGCCACAGGGGTCTGAGGCTACAGGGTCACAGCACAGAGCTGCTGCATGGGAAAAGGAAACTAAACTAAAGAGCAGCTTCACAGACATTCCAGTAGATGTCAAGCTGATACATCACAGACTTGGGAAAAGTTTTAAAGTGGCTATGTAGCTGCAAAACAGTTTAATATTAAAAACATTAGAAAAAAAAACTGTCTTCTCAACCACCCGCCTCACTTCAATTAAATCTGGGCAACCAATCTGACACAAACTATGCTTGTTGCTCAGCATATTCATGTGTTCTTCAGTTTGGTTTTGTTTCGCCTCTTTTGGTCTTTGAGTGACGCAAGTGAGATGGTTTGAGTGAGGCTCTGAGAAAACAACAAAAACAACAACAGCCCCCTTGTACTAAAAGCATTAAAATTCACCTCTTCACCTGGATGAATACGGCAAGACAATTTGTTGTGGGCATTACCAACATTATTATTATTAGCATAGTTAATAATATCTCAAAGGTAACATTATTAACTTTGTGAGAGACACACGTGTTGTTAAGATGTTTAACTGGAACACAACTCTTTCCCCTTTTAATGAGAATTGATGGTTGTCATGTATAATTTTCCATGTTATTGTTGCACTAAGTAAGACCACTGAACATGAATACTGGGTATTACAACACAGCACAAAAGGGAAAAACCACACTTTTCTCAACTCACAAAAGATGAATTCCTGGGCAATGTACTTGGCTCTGCTTTTTGACACATGGTGAAGCAGTTGTGCTTCAAAATTATCCCTCAAATTATGGTAATGCTGTAGCGTGAATAATGTTCACCTAGAGTAAACAGCACTGCTGCCTACCGTTCCCACGAGAAACGTAAAAGACAACAAGAACAGAAGAAAACACAAAAGAACAAAAGCAAAAGAAAGTTAACGGAAAGAAGCGCTTGCATAAGCCTTGAGCTATAAATTCTCTCCATAACAAGTCAGGATGATTTTACCTTACACTGGTTCGGGTATGAGAGATATTAGACAGTCTACATCCTGAGGCAAGCTCCCTTTGCATTTTTCATTTTCCTGCCTGACCACAATATCCTCCCGCGGTACAAATGAAAGCTACTTCATGGATAATATCCACCGAATATGCTGTAATTCTCAAAGCAAAATTGAAACAGACTATTAACAAAAAGATTAATTAGCACCTTACACAGAGACACGTAGCTTGGTGGGCTATTTTTCGTACCTCCACTACGTTTTTTTTTTTTTTTTAGACCTCGAGATGTGCAGCAATTTGTTCAGCGTTTGAGCTGAAAAAACATCCTGAATAAAATATGTGCAGAGAATTCCCCTTGCATATAGTTCTGTGATAGCACCTTTGTTCACATGCTCACAGATATGACCTCATGCATTTCAAATCTGATGCTGCATGTTAACAATGTGCTGCACTATGTCTGATGCCACAGCAGGTTGTCCCGGCTGTGATATAAATTACAATAATTGATCAAGACCACTGTGTTTAAACCTCAGATGTATTGGTGACAAATGCTGAGCTCTACCAAACAATAAGGAGGGAGGAAGAGCAAGCAGCAACAGGAAGAGACCAAAAAAAAAAAAACAAGAGGAAGATTAAACAAGGGGAAGAAACAGAAATGGTCAAAGAGAAAGGAGCGTGTGACGGATAAGTGTGGCGGTTGTGGGTGTGCATCAGGAGATACAGAGGTTTTGAATAATTGAGCAAGTCTTTCTCTGAGAACTCAATCTCCTTATCTCTTAAAAGAACATGACACCGAACCTTTTCTCTAATTGCTGATCTTTGCTTTTCTCTGCAGATATTGCTTACAAAGGCCTTTGTGAAAGCTAACCTGGAGTTGCGCTGCCTGTTGCAGTGGCAGAGAGAGATGGATGAATCATAGATACACACACACACACACTCACTTGTTAACGCTCACACACAAAGCTGGGAACAGCTTCAAAAAACAAATGTACTTGCTATATCATAAGTGTGTTATAACACATCAGATGACAGACATTGATTGAGAACTATTGCATATCAAGTGAGTAATCTACCACATTTTAAAAAAACAAAAATAAGAAATTGTGCCGTAAAACTGGAAAGGTGGAGTCACTGTCACATACGTATAACAGTGTAGTAGCCTACAGTAGACCAAACAAAATGCTTTTGACTTCTCTAAATGACCACCAGTCATTTCAACCTTCAAATACTTCATTAGTGACTACTGTGATAAATTTGTTTTCCTTAAGGAGTGAGATAAGAGTTTCAGCTAAGTGTGGTAAAAAAAAAAACATAACCATACATATGTGAAAATGTAAATGCATAAATACGTCCTAGAGGTAATGCACGGATACTAGCCGAGTTCAATTCTTAGCTTTCAAGTATAAACTGGCTAAAACTAATGGATCATCATTTGGCTGAACATATACAGGTTTAGCGGACCTAGCCATCCAAGATTTTATGCCAAAAAAGTTTATCTACTCGTCCTACTATAGTCAGCAGCACTGCAAGGTGACGATTGTCAGATCAGCCGTGCCTGTCACAACTGCATCAAAACATGACCCGAGTTCACCAGTAAACGATCCTCCTGGCCTGCCTCACCAAAAGCGGCTTATCAATATCTCCAGACTACGCATGTAAGTCACAGCCAGTCACGTCCCGCTCACCTATATACTCCAATTCAAAATATTCCCAAACACGGACAGAAGCTTTTCTCTGTCTTCTCTTTTTTTTTTTTTTTTTAAGTTTTGCGTTCCCACTGGTATTCACCATCGTTATCAGCTCGGCTGCTTGTTCTGCTAGCTGCCTGGGTCATCACTGACCTCTGGTGGTGTACCACAATACATCGCTGTACAGAGCATATTTGTGTCAGTTAAACAGAAAATAAAGGAGCTAATGCTTTTGGCATTACAATCCTACCTTCAGGATTTTTTTTTTTTAAAGCAGTGTACCTTTACACTGCAACATTGAAAAAGCCTATTTTCAATAATGGGCTATTTGGACAAAAAAAAAAATAAGTAAGCAAAAACGTAATTTTTTTAAATTGAAAATTTTTACAATTATTTTAATTACAAACCACGTAACCAGATTTAAAGAAATTTGAGAAAATTGAAATGACCAGGAATCTTTTAAAATTACCAATTGCTAGCATTTTTTACAAAAAGCACATTATATTAAGTAAACTATCATGTACAGCTGCAATAAGCACAAATAAAAATGCTGCTCAGGTTGACTTATATTGTTGCAGCATATTTAAAGATTAGACCTTGTCAAATCATCTGACAGCTTGTGTTTTTTTCCCTGACATTATTTTGGTTTGCATTCTCAGATCTCTAGTGAGTGTAAGGACTCACGCACTGGTTTTAAGGAAATTCTACACGAGAGATGAACTTGAACCAAACTAAATGTATTTAAACTAAGCTAACACAAAACAACAATCGAGTGCAGAAGTCAGCAAGATCAGCAGTGTGAACAGTGATTGAATGTAGATCTTATGTTTGCAGCAAGGGTGTTGAAGGTGCAAACACAAAAGAAGGTTAGTGCCAGACAGATGGAGGAGAGAGAGAAAGTGAAGACATATGCCAGGTTTTATAGCCTGAAGGGTCCCAGTAAGCTATGTTAGCTGACGACCCTCACATGACATGTCAGCCAGTTTCCCTCTCAGGTGGGCTCAGACCACCTTCAAGACAGTGAAAGGGGCGTCACAAAGGTTATCATGAATCACAGAAATGAGTGGAAACTCAGATCTAAGACCCAATAAACTAGAATTACAAGAGAATAGTCCATATTTAGATTAAATATTTGGAAACACCTAACATTTCTGCTCAATTTTCCCAACACGTGTCTGGTGCCTGGATTCGTATCTAGATCAGTAAATTGTATGAGAAAACATTGTGTACCTGCTTTACAGCACTGCATTACCACTGTACTTCTTTATCACTCCTTTTCTACTCGTCATACACAAATTTAAATGTGTTTCAGCATATGGCTTGTGCTCTCTTTATGGTCCATCTGTATATATAGGATGAAGATAGGCAGATCCACATTTTCTAAATGAGGGGACATAGAAGACGACATTGGGCTTGGATAGCGACAATGTTTATGCATGACGGATGGAGAGCAGAAAGCGAGAAGTGGGGAGCCTCCAGAGACTCGGGTAATTCCACACCGGTGTGTTTGGTTTGTACAATATTCGACAGGTAGCCTGCTTAACTTGGAACACTGCTGAGCGAGCAGAATGAACGGGGACTAATGACGGTGCAGCAGTTTTGTGGAAATACAGAAACGACTCGAGTGCCATTCAAAGGGAATACGTTAGGACAGACATAGATTTAGAAATAAATTGCTAACATTTTCAGTCTTGCTCTCTATCACAGAAAATATCCTCGACCCAGTACCTTACCAGCCAGAAACCCTTAAGACACCCGTCTAGTTTGAAATTAATATTGGTGATAAAACATTTTTTACTCCTCTGATGTTTACAAGTTAAGGTAAACCACTAAAACATTTACATCTAATGTGTTAGATTTATCCACCACCACATCCTGGAATCCAAACAGCAGCACCTTAGCCCTATTTGAGCCTGGCATAAGCTTGACCATAAATTTTATTACTAGAAAAACACTACACAAGCATCACCACTATAACAATAGGAGCCAACAATATAGTTTATGCATATGGTGTTAGCTTTGCAAGGATAGATGAGAAAAAGGCAGCTTCTCAATAAACCATGCAACAAAACTTAAGTCATCTTTGTTTTTCTCTTACCAGGAGACACTGCCAGCTGAAAATGATGCAGCTTATCCTCATCTGGGAAACTAGCTTTGCATGTACCTGTACGTGAACAAATGAGAGCAGAGAGAAAGACAGTTTTTAATTCTTAGAGTCAGAGGCAGCTGTATGAAGGTCTTTGTGGCAAATAAAGGCTTTACATTAATAACATTTTCATAAAGTCTTTCCAAAGCCACAACATGTTCACACTGTCAGCCCCGACTGCAGGATTTATGCGTTGCCTTTAGGAGTCCCTGTGGCACCATATTCCCCCCTGGTGTTCAGAGATGAGTACTGCGCGCAAAAAACCAACACCGACACTTTGAGGGTTTTTCACCCATGTTTATGTGTAATACGTTTTTAATCTAACTAAACACTCCACCGGCTCTTTTCCAGCTTTGTCCTTGCATGTAAAACAAACACTCAAATAATTGATGATTTCCAAACTTTCTCCACCTCACTCATACATCATTCATGCCCGGTGGAGAGTGAGTCATTAGAGGTGAAACTGCTGAGAGACACAATCTGCCCAAACAATCATCAGACATAATACACAACAACATGCAGGATAATAGAACTAAAAAGCAGAACTGGAATCTGAGGACGTATTCATGTGCATGAACTGTATGTGGCAATGTTTGAGGAGCAAATTTCTTGTGGTGTCAGCCCAGGAATGTTGACTGAATGACTATTAAAAAAGTCCACAGGTTAATATTCTTCTGGTGTAGAGCTGCATTAATCACGAGGATGTCGTCGAAAAGTTGTCCTACCACCATGGGGGAGACACTGAATTCTGGCTTTCATCTGGACAACAAAGCCACACCCCGTGGGGTTGCCAGCGCCGAAACATCCTTCAGTTCATGGGAATAATTTGCCTTCGATTTGCCTTTTATTTCCCCATCAGTTGTATGTTTAACCATGTTGTTGCTTTTGGCAGACATCGCTGCTCTGGTTTAACAGATCACGTACGATTTTGATTCTCTAAGTGACAGACGATGGAAATAAAAACCTAAACAGGAACCCTCTCCAAAGGCATTAAGACAAAGTAGTGCACAACGCAGCCAGCATGTTCTCAGGATTTTGGAGCTATCGAACTTGGAAAGAGATGTGCTCATAGTGGCTTGACGGAAAACCACATTTTCTTGTACAGTAATGTATAAATAAAAGAACGGCAAAGTCTTCTTCCAATTATACCCGTCATTGATTCTAGCATTAATGCTCAGAGTGCAAGGACCCGCTGTTGAAGGAAAGAACACACAGGGCTCTATAGAGGGAGGACAGTGTTAATTTCCTGCATTGGTAAGTTAACAATAGATAACAGAGAAACATAAATAGCCTCCACACAAAGAATGAGGTATATGTTATTCACAGTCGAGCTCAGATTGGCTGCAAACTCACGGGCTATCGAGGAGATGCAAGCAAGGCTGCAGCGGTGGTCTAAATAATCTGAATATTTTGTGTGGGGTCTCGTTCTTGTTAGTATGATGCATTTGTTTTGAATTTGTAGCAGGAAAAAAAAATATTTCCAAGCAAACTAATCAGGTCTGTTGCTTTCTAGTCGACACTGTATGCTCGTAGCTGTTTACTTCTATGGCTTTCATGGTCCACAGCTACGAGGGCAAACTCATCAGACCACAAACACAAACAAGCATTCTGAGCTCAGCCAAAGCAATCATAATGAACGATGCACTTGTGCATAACAATGACCACATAACTGACTGACAAAGATCTCATATACTGTTGTGGAAAAACCTCTCATAAAGTCTGCACTCAAATCATAGCCGGAGGGGGTACAGTTTGTTTGAATAAATACCTCCTGAGGCCAGAAATATAACAAGCAGTAAACCTCTCTAGCCCCACAGCGCATATATATTTAAAACCATGACTCATTTCCAGCCTATTACAGCAACATTTAGGTGGCAGAGCTGGGTGGCATGACAAAAAATGCAAAAAGTCTAGTAGAAAGCACTACACATTGGTAGGGAGACATGCATTAGTGTTTCTGTTGACTAGACATATAGATCCTTGTTTCATATAGTTCTCAATAGTATGTTGCAACAATAAACAACTGCATATTTGGCTTGTTTTCATAACTGCTATGGAGTGGATAAACTAGACTGTGTGGCGCTGATAGGCTATGTTACACACTGGTGTCATAAACAGAATAGAAGAAATAAAACCAGTTGTTTTCCAACCATCCAGGGGAAAAAAACAAAAACTGGAAGAGGAAGAAACAGACATGCTGCCCAGAGAGACGCTTCAAAACGAGCGTACAGTTCGATAAGAACACATGGCTTATGTCTGTGTATGGTGGTGGCATCAAGTACTTAATCCTTAGTTTGTTGTCCGATTGCACTGACAGTTCTGCTGTCACTGTAATGCTCAGGAAAACATAGCTTTTATGGTCGAAGATTTTCGCAAATATTGATGAGTTGTTTGTTTGGTAAAAGGTCAGAAAGTAGTGTTTACCAAAGCCGAAAATGGCGTCCTGGAGGGTATTGTGTCCACGGTTGAAAGACATTCAGTGTATGGTAAGAAATCTGATAATATTCTCATTAAAAAGCTGCTATTAGACAATGTATTTTCCTAAAGTAATCAGTTGAGTGATCAAAATACTCCACTATTAATTACATCTATGACAACTAACTAATGAATTGTTGCAGTTCTGGCGAGGACGATACCACACTACTTGATCAACAGAGGAGCTTTGCCACTGCAGAAAACAACCCTCATTACCACAATGCAACTGAGAAATGGAGCTGTGCTTGTCGCAACACCTGCTGTATATTAAGCCAATTATTCAGCTGTCACACTTTCAGATGACTTGACGAGAAGAGGGTGAGAAAGAATGCTATGTGCGTGTAAGTGTGAGGCATACTTACTAGGGAGATTGGCTTCAAGTTCTGCAACTTCTGTTGAGAGAAAATAAGAACAATGGTTCAGGGGGAGCAGAAAAGACTGAGACACACAAATGTGAGATCCTCACATGGATATAACTGACACCCCCACACTTCTTTTTCATAAATGAAGCAGTGGAACAGCACCTGCTCCACAGGAAAGTTCCTCTGCATTAAAGAATAATGGCTCATGTGCAACTGGCAAAAAAAAAAAAAAAAAAAGAATTGTCTCCCTCACACAGCACAATGTAGCAGAGAAAAACAGAACGACTGGCACAGTGGGACGAAAGTAAAAAGATGTGAAAGCAGCTGGAGAAAAACAAAAAAAAGAAAGACAGAGAAGACAAAAAGAAGGAAACCAACAGGAAGACATGGAAAGAGCACTGGGATGTTTTGTGGGTGTTGCCTCTGGGAGAGGTCTGGTTGAATTTTTAAAAGCTTCCAGGTTCTGTTTTGTTTTCTCATCACTGACACTTTCTGCTGCTAATTTGTGTCAGCTGACTAAACACATTTTCTTCCCAGAGAAATTTACAAAACAATGCTCGGTTTCTCTGGTCAGTATATGTTTTAATTTCTATTCACTTACATTTTCTTTGAAGTGTTCTGGGTCTAATAATTAGGTACTTCAAGGTTATGCTTAAGAGTTTTTTTTGTCTTTTTAACTAACCCCTTCCACACAGAGGTCTGTGCATGCAGTTATTAACAGCTCCCTCAGGGCTAAGAGAGAGTTGCTGTTTTGACTAATGAGATCAACAAAGGGCTATTTTCAGAATTAATACTCCTCTCCATTACACATTTAGGCCAAATGTCAGATCCCGACTCATAATCAGAGAAAAACCTCAAGATCATCTACAAATTATTCCAGTGGTTCTCAGCCAGTGTACAACTAAATTAGATTCATTTCTTCTGGCTGCAGGTGTGACCATTGTTGTTTTTTTTTTTACTCTGTTACATTTTGACATTTTGCTATTTAACATTTGTAAACTGATGATTGTGTACCAGCTGCAGACAAACAATAGATGAATCCATTCAAATTTTATATGATGAGTCTTCTGATATCTTTCTGCATCACCTAATTTAATTAAGCCATGTACATACTGCATGCAATATCACATTTTGAGCCCACAATAAGGCGAATAGAATTAGGAAAAGAGGGTTTTCACACAGAAGAACAACCCACATTTTGCTGGTCCAAGTAATTGGATGATGTACAAATGAATGTATAGATAAAGCGAGAACAACACGGAAACAGGTGGCAGGTGCACGGGGAAAGAATGAGACAAACGTAAACGGAGTGACGACAAGCGAGAACAAGGACAAGCCTGCGAAACTGAAATGGAGGCGAGAGGAGGCAGATATCTGGAAGCTGCTTCAAAAGGCAAAGAGAGGAACCTATAAATAAAAACCCAAGGAGCAAGAGGGAAAAACAGAGAAAAACAGATGGATAAAGAAGGGAAGGCAGCAGCCGAGACGCTGAAATAGAAGGAACAGCAGCATAAACAATTCATAAACAGCTCTGTCGATTTCTGTGTGTCGATGTTGACATTAACGAGACTTAAAAGAACACTTAAGAAGCGACACTCTTGGCCTACATGCCTCAAATATTTAGCCTCAATTTAGTCTCAAATATTTGCAACCCTTAACTGTCAATTAAAATGTACTTTCACTTGCATCATGTAACAGTGATGACTGGAAAAAAAACAACTTAATCTTGACAGTTCATTGTACTGGATGACTGATAAAGTTTGATGTATGCAAACAGACTGAACAGTTCATTGTAAATAGGGATAGCTGATATAGCCAGAAAATGACATGAACCATCATAATAGTACAACAAATCAACAACTTTGCCTTTTTCTGAGTCGGCATTGTTGTCAGCATACTATCTTCCACAACAATTAGGTCAGTGAGAGTCTCTATATTCAAACCTTTCAAATTTAGTTCTGCCCTTAAAGTGGTTTTGTTAGCCCGACTACAATTCTAACGTGTTTCACTGCTACTGAGGAAATAAACTCATGACGACAGAAAATGAGCTCATAGCAACTCCTGATGTGTTGACTGCAGGAATGAACCGGGGAGAAAAATCTGACAAAAACAGCCGCTCATGAATGATCGAAAAGGCAGCCTGTCAGAGAAAATGATGACCACCACAACAGTCTAGCAGGAGATGGTGTGATTATGTGACTCATAGAAAAAGATGCACAAATGTGAGTTTCAAAATTACCTTTTTTCATGTTTCCCTTATATGTGTGTGGGGGGAAAAAATCAACGATAAGGACTCTCTTCTTCTGGAACTAATAGGATTTCAGGAAAGCTTTCCAAAAAGGAAGAGTGGGAAAGTGTTTCCTATTGGAATAGGGTGTTTGTCCCACATGGTAAGTGGCTGTACAATGTCAGTTTGATGGTGGATTTTGCAAAACCAATCTATTTCCCCAGCATGGGAGCAATATGACTGCCTTTATTCTGTTTTAGCTCATCGTGATCAGCTGCTGTTTTTCTAGTGCGTTTGACTAGCAAAGCCCTCATGCAGCAAGGAAACAGTGACAGATTATGTTAGTCAACTACTTCTCGCTGGTAGTGTTAGCATTGTTTGATGGATCACGTCTATCTATCTATCTATCTATCTATCTATCTATCTATCTATCTATCTATCTCCGTATCACTAGATTCCAGTGTGCCATAAGGTCTTTTAAAGAGATTGAGGACAGACATAAAACAGCAAAATGGATGAACAGAGGAGACCCGGATACCTTTGGTAAGGAGGCGGTCCCTGATGGAGACCCTGTGGGTGGAGTCTGAGGCTCCGGAGGCACGGCCTGTCTTTCCTCCATCGTCCTTCTTCAACTTGCTGGCTAATGTGAGCATGGCTACGCTGCTGTGATATGCCTCTGTCTGCCCCGCGCCGCACTGTGCTGCACTGCACTGCTGCTCAAATGCCTGCCAATCACACAGACCATAAAGAACAGAGCAGACAGTTTCATTACACTGCATAATAAACAGAAAAAAATGCACATGAAAGAAGAGGCATCTGTCAATGCACATTAGTCAGACAAAATCAAAACTAATAAGCATAACAATTAGTCAGTATGCACAATTTCATGAAGTCTGTGTTTTTACTGAAAATAAATGACATTTCATAAGGTCAAAATCAAACAGTCACACATGCAAATGGACATTGGCAGCTTTAACCGGCTATTCAGGTGTCTGTGTTAAATGCTGTTTGTCCATATATCTCAGCTACATGACTGGTGATATGTCCAGACTGCACCCTGTCCCTGCCCAGTGTGTGCAGAAATAGGCTCCAGTCCCCTGGAATGCTGCACCAACGAAGCAAATAAAGACAATAGAGACAGGAATCACCAATTAACTTTATGAACTGTGGGAGGAGAGAACTCACACTGCACAGGGAGAACATGTAAACTTCACACAGAAGACACCAGGCCCAGGCCAGGATGTGAGCCAGGAATCCCGTAGCTGCGGCGGTGCTAAAAACCGATCCACCGTGCAGCCCAACAGGGGGGAAATCTAAACAAAACTTGATGTGGATCTGAAGAAGTTGTCTCACAGTGCATGTGTTGAGTCACAGCAATGTCACATAGGATTGACTGCAATAAATTAAATTAATTAATAACACAGCCACTACTTTACACAAGATGTTAATGCTACAGCTGCAGCCTACTTGCCAAAGATGAATTAATTTAAGGAGAATATTGTATTCTATTTGGAACTTCTCCTGACAGACACATACACATAGCTGTCAGTTTATTACTACTGTTACCATTTTACTGCTGCTAAAGATGCCAGAACTTTGCATGAACTGTTCTGATCTTTAGTAGTGAGCAGCTATAAAATATCTAAGATTAAAAAAGATTTATATTTTTGTCTGCAGAGTCAAATATCCAAAGAAAAAAGTTTTTTTTGTTATTAAGAAAGTCTTCAAAAAACTGACTGTAACGGCAAAGCAACAGGATAATCAGAGTATTTTGACATCACACTCTTGCTATCCTTAGGATTAATGCTGCTGCAGATATTACCTATGACGTGACACTGATAAACTCAGAGATGAAAGCCTTCACTCAGGAAACATTTCCTCTGGTAACTATCAGCACTATGCAAACACAAACCACCAGTGGGGATTTCTGTCTCCACTGCTCTTCACCTCATTTCTGGGAGTGGTTCTTGTGCATTGTACCATTTTAACTGTTGACACACGAGCATTTTTAAAATTACGAAACAAATATGTGCATTTTAATAGTATTTCACTTAAGAAACAAATGCAACTACCTGTGAAAGGGCATTGATAGAATCCATATAAGGGGGTTTACTGTACCTGAAAAGTGCATCTTGAGAATGAGAAAGATATTTACACAGATTTCTCAATTCAATGCATTCAGTAAAGACTACAGCAAGTAACCACAGATTAAATTCAGAGGCACACCTAATATGATAATATGTCAAATCAGCAATAAACAGCTATTCAGCAACTTGCAGGAAATGCCAAAAACAGGCAACTCCCATGTTGCCTGATGCAGCAGAATCTCCACACCGTAATGCCAGGTTGGGACAATATTTTAGGGACTGTTCACAGCTGGCATTAAGGTGCATCTTGGGTGATCCGATCATAAGTGGACAAGTGGTCTGCTGCCCGGACCACCTCCAAATGTGGTCAGAACGACCAGATCTCTGTGCGTCCACAATGCATCCTGGTTGCATTCACACCGGTACTTGAAGCTGTCGACCCATGACTGGATCACCCAATGTGCACATTAATGCCAGCCAAGAAGGTCTGACAAGTTGGTTCCTGTGTCAGACTAGGCCATTTAGGGGACATAACTTCTTTATGCGAGCTGGATGAGACAAATGACAGACTTCATGTAAGCCCCTGACACTCATAGCTTGCGCTTCTAAATTATCATGGACCAACTTTCAGAAACAATAGCATCTGAGGCAGAGAGTATGATAGAGGTGGCTGTTCAGAAGAGTCTACAGAAAGAAAAGAAAAGAAAAGAAAAGAAAAGAAAAGAAAAGGAAAAAAAATAGCCGAGGAACTGTCAGTGAATACAAGAACAGGACAATATG